CATTTTTCACATACTTTCCAAAGGAGTTTCCTGTTCACAGTGTCAATTTTTTTTGGAGAGATCAATAAAGACCATAAACAGGCCATGTTGTTCTTCACGGTACTATTCTTAAAGCTACGGGGCAGTGAAAAAATCATATCTACCGCACTCTTCCTCTTTATAAATCTACATTGTCACTCAAGTAATACCAATTCACTGATGTGATCAGTCAGTCTCTTCAACACAGTCTCTGACAGGAAATTCCCCTACTGCTGCTGCAGGTGGACTTATCACCCTTTATTTTATATATGGTGATGATATTTGTGTCCCGCCCCTGTTGGGGACTCTCTCCGCCTCCCATACTCAGCGCCCCCTGCTGTTGGCTGTTAGTTGGCTGTCACTTTTGTGGTTGATGACCTACTGCTGGGAATTCTGTCTCTTTTTAGTGAGCCAGGACATTTGGCCCAGCTCACCACGGGGAGATGCTCTCTCAGCTCCCAAACAGCTCACCAAGGGGAGCCGCTCTCTCAGCTCCCAAACAGCTCACCACGGGGAGACGCTCTCTCAGCTCCCAAACAGCTCACCACGGGGAGCCGCTCTCTCAGCTCCCAAACAGCTCACCACGGGGAGACGCTCTCTCAGCTCCCAAACAGCTCACCAAGGGGAGCCGCCCTCTCAGCTCCCAAACAGCTCACCAAGGGGAGCCGCCCTCTCAGCTCCCAAACAGCTCACCAAGGGGAGCCGCTCTCTCAGCTCCCAAACAGCTCACCATTTTACCACTTTTACCTGTTATCGTTCACCCAAATTGGAGCTGTTTTGACCAAGTATGTGTGCACTGCAGAGCACATATATCAATTAAATTACTCAATGTAATTATAATTAACATTATCATTTCCACAATACCATCATTTTATGTTATGGTTGGTATAAAAAGATTAAATGTAAAAACATAAAACACTCTTACACGTGCATTAAACATTTTATTTGTATGTGGTCCTTATACATAAACGTATGTCACAGTTCTAATGCTACTGTGATCTCCATAAAAAATAAAATACATAATAGACAATCCAAAAATCCAGAATTAAATTAACCTGATGGCATGATCCTGGTCGGACTCACCGTGTGATTGGTCACACAGCACACTTACCATTAACACGACATTCAGTCGGTCACAGTCAGTGTATGGAGCACCTGCCTCTGCTGGGGAGATCATCCTGAAGGGGGATCTGGGGAGATCACCTCTGACCCCAGCCATCGAGGGCCTCTGCAGCCAGTGTGTTTCCCTGAGGGTGATCCTGCTTGCAGGATCCTCATCGCTGAGGACCCAAGCAGCTAGACCAGGCCAAGGGGACGCCCCTGTAACACCTGACTGTGGCAGATGGATGGCCATTTCCGGAGGGTGGGACTGGACTGTGTGTCTGCCTGAGGATCACCAGACGGAATCCCGAGGAGTTTTGCCCTGGGGCGGGTGCGGCAACGTGCTGCATCAGTCCATGCTCCCCTACCTGACCTGACCGGAGATGTATTGATAGACGTGTCACTTAACCCTCTGGAGTCGACGGCATCGTCGGCGATGCCGAGTATCTTTCTCGTGTATCTCAGTTCATAACTCGCTGAAATCTTATTATACAAACATGAAAAAACGCTGACTAAATCTGTAATTTGTTTTCTTTTCAAAACGTCCATTG